GCGAATAGTATTGGAGACATCCCATGATGGATCTAAGTTGGTTTTGATCTCTTGGTGACTGGAGTTCAGTCAATGGTCGGAAGCGACTTGGATCAGGACGATAGCCTTTAGTATCTACTGTGAAACTCAAGAATTCCAATTCTGGTGAGCTGAACATGCATTTGAAGGCGCGAATTGACATGTTCTTTTGGGCGAACCGCTCCAGTAGTTTGAGAAGTCTATCGTCATGCTCGGCCTTCGTTGTGTCAAATACAATGACATCGTCCTGGTACGCTCACACGCCATCGAGTCCACGAATGACTTCGTCAATTGCAGCCTGAATATGCCGGAGGATGTGCGGAGACCAAACGGTAGGAAGTTGTATTGATACAGTCCCCATGGTGTGTTGATAGCCGCACACTTTCGCAACCGCGGGTTGAGTGTTAAGCGGTAATCGCCATAAATTCGCAGTGTTTTGCCGTCAGTTTGATCGCGATCACGATCGGCCTTGCCCACGCACTGGATGTGACTTGGGTGATTATGCCATCGCGCTCCATTTTCTCAAGGGCCTGTAGTACACCATCACAATGGCCGTAGGGAATTACAAGTCGTTTCAGGAAAATGGGTTCACCATCAACTTCCAGTTTGACCGGCTGTACGTTCATACCTCCTGTATTATTGGAACATTTCACGACCAGCAATGGCCATTTGTGTCCAGTCACTCCAAGGACTCGCACGGATGTCGGATGGATTTCGGCTTGGAGGCAGATTGATCGTAGAACAGCAATGGAAATGATAGATTCCATGCTTCCCGTACCAACAATGAATTTGTGCCTTGTGCCGGACTGAAATGTCACATCTGTATATAGGAATTGGGTGCGTTGGCTTTCGGACCGTAGAGAGAGAGCACCAGATTTGTATCATTTGCAGCAGTCGGTTGTGCAAGATTGTAACGGGGCTGTTTGCACACTCTCCGAATGTGGCTAGTTTTCCCGCATGGATGACACTTGTCATTTCGGAAGCGGCAATTGGAGCGCAGATGGCGAGCTCCAGATGACAAGCAGGGATTGATACGTTTCTCGTTGCCTGAAGAGTCGTGCTGCTGCTTCAGTACACACTTGGCCATTTGAGGTCGGTTTGGTCGCGTCTTCTGCCGTTGGAATAATGTGACTGATTCGCTGGAAGTGGCTTTCATCAGGTCGTCGTGTTGCTCACAGATTTTGCGGGCATCGGCAAACGTTAAATCTTTCTTCTCCAGCAACTTCCGTTGAGGAGTCAGATTATTGATGCCTGCCACCAAGCTATCACACATTTGTTCTTCCAGGCGATCACTATAGTTGCAGCTTGATGCTTTTTTCAGCTGCGGGATGAATTCACAGTAAGAAACATGATCGGCATGAATCATGGAGTTGAATTTGGCCCTTTCATTTGCTTGGAATTCAGTGGATAGCAGGTGGTTGAGCAGCAACGATTTCAGGGACTCGTATGGTAGTTTGGCTGGAGCTTCAGGGAACACCAGGTTTCTCAACAGGGAGTAGAGGTCACGGCCGCCAGTAGTACGAAATAGGGCTGATTGATTCTGTGTACCACCTTCACGAATGCTGCACCACAGCTTGAACCGTTCGATCCTTGATCTCGGATGGACTTGCTTGCAGGGTCAGTTGCTCAATCGTTGGGAGCTCCATCACGCGACGCCAATTTGTAATGATTGTAGTAATCGTAGTAATACGCACGGAATTCGGAATGCAAACCACGCAATAGGAATCACAGGACACGAATCACTAATCAGATATCACGGACTGGATCACGGAAGCATTGGACCGCAATGGCACAGATTCGCAATGTCCCACGAGAACCAGACGCGAGGAAAAGACCACAGGAATAGTAGTACGCAGTTCGTTTATTGAAAGAAGTGCGAGCGATTAAATAATATCGGATTGCAATACTTCTTGTATAATCTTGCTTCTGTCAGCACTGTCTTGGATTGGCTGGCATCATCCACCAACGACGTGTATTCAGAAGCCATGCACGTGTCATTGACGTCATCATTCAAATTTGATTGATCGCGAATGTCCTGAAACTGTAACGCGCGGTTCCAGGGTAGGCTGGTGAAGGCCCGGATCACCACACCAATATCGACCTGACGGGGAGAAGATAGTGAGAAAATAAGAGGCGATGGTTAGAGGTTTATATGGGCTCAAAAAGGCAACCATCTGTTTTAACCAACAACGGATTGCAGCTCGGACTGGTGGAGGAGCACAATACCGACCACCACCATCCTCCTAAACAGAGTCTAGGCTGGGCTCTGGATGGACTGTATCTGGTACGTTTTTCTCTGAGAAGCTGATAGGGTCAGCGATGCCACCTTGCTGTAGACAGATTCAGATGGCTCAATAGCCAGAAGGGTACCTATTGGGTACCACCACCATATGAAGTGCCCCGGTAACCTGGATGCTATGGGCTTATGAGTATATCTTAATGTGTGTGCTGAAAGGCGAACACAGGAGACGCGGAGTATGATAAACGGAAGAGCACTCGGGCAACTTCGACGACGGACCATACTTTATTGCCAATCTGCTAGACCGGGGACCACTTGCAAGGCATTCACCTACCACACCATCACCTTTACCTAATGCGTACTCATATCCTCTCTACAAGAGTAATTTTTAACCTGCCGGGTATATCCAAATACCCGCAAAAATTAGAAAACCTTTTAGGGTAGAGCATTGCATCGTCCCACTAATCCGCTAAGCTAGGTGCATAACTAGACTGCGGGCATTCTTTCTCTTTTCTTATTCTGCAGGCATTCCTCTTCAGACTTCTAATGTATCAGCTACAGAAGTAGCACCTGAACCGAAAGTTGCCCAAATCGGCTTCGGGGAGACCAAAATCGGCTCGCGACGGATTCTCTATTGTAAAAGCACTGGTAGGCGAACGATACACTCACGGTGCAAGAACCTGGACTCAAATTTGCATCGGCCGCAAGTCCTGTTACCCGACCTGACCTGACTTGATCTGACTAA